GGGCCGTGGCTGCCGTCAGCTCTGCCTCCTTCCCCCTCACTTCAGGGCCCGAGCCTCCGTGCCCCCCATGTGCTGGGGCTGGCCGCCCTGGCTGCCCACCTGGGTGCCTCCCGCTCTGTGCTCCCGGAGGTGGCCGTGGGCCCTGCTCCCATTAGACGCCTGCCTGCTCCGGACCTCTTCGACCACCTCCTGACCTGGAGTACCCGGGAGTCCTGGCTGTTCTGCCTCAAGTGAGCCGCGCCTCCTTCCTTTTCTGCCTCGCGTGTCTGTCAAACGGCAGGGGAGGCGGCGTTCAGGGGCGTCCATCGGGGCAGGGGGGTGGCGTGCAGGGGCGTGATGTTCCCTACATGCTGCTGGGCATCTGCGTCCACGTCACACACGCTCGTGTCAGTCTGTCCGCGTCCACGTCACACACACTCGTGTCAGTCTGTCCGCGTCCACGTCACACACACTCCTGTCAGTCTGTCCGTGTCCACGTCACACACGCGTGTCAGTCTGTCCGCATCCACGTCACACACACGTGTCAGTCTGTGTGCTGGCTGCACTGTTGGGATCCGGTCACTGAACCAGGGGAGGACCCGCGTGTCCGTCGTCACGTGAGTTCCCGAGGTCTGGCCGCTGGCTGGGTGGAGCCTCCCTGCTGTGCCGTCCGCTCCTCTGGGTAATTTCGGGCAGCTGCCCCCACAGAAGGAAATTCAGTCCAGCTGAGCCGGGACAGGCCACATGAGGAGGCTCCGGGCCACATCCTGGGTCTGCAGAACGCACTGGGCCCCTCTGTGATCCTGGCTGGGGGAGGGTTGCTGTGGACCCTGTCAGGGTACCTGTTTCTCTTTCTGCCTCTCTGGAAATAAACCTCAGAACATGTTAGGACTGGGCCAGCAGGGGGCGTGTGGGTTAAGGCGCTGGAGCTCTCTTGGCCAACTGTGTGGTTAGGGTTCCCCGACCTGGTGGGGCTCTGCAGCTGAAAATGAAAAACTACCTGCAGGACCCCAGGATCGTAGCACAGCTAACGCTCTCCTCCTGGAGGCTGTGGCCCCTCGCCCTGCCATTTCCTTCTCTGACCTGAGTTTGGAGCAGACCCAGGGGAGCACCAGGTGGTCCGGTGGTCTGTGGAGAGGCCGAATGCAGCCAGGTCATCCCTGTAACTGCAGGCTCCAGGCAAGGTGGCCCTGGCAAGGCTGAGGACTCACTGCAGGTCTAGACGGACAGACACCAGGGAACTCGGGGAGCCTGTGGTGAGGACGGAGTTGCAGCTCTGGTCCTGGGTGGCTCTCGGGTTCCTTGTGCAGAGCTTGGCTCAGGCTGGGGTGGGGTCGTGTGGTCTGGAGGGAGGTGGCCATGCAGAGCTGTCAGTAGGGTACTGAGCAGGACCCGAGGTGGCCACGGGACGTGGTGCTGATCGCTGGGACAGTGGCCAGGCTCCTCGTGCAGTAGCTGGGGACGGGCACTTGCTGGGGAGAGCCTGAAATTCTGAGCGCGGTGGCCGCCTCATGGCCGAGATAGCGGGAAGACAGCCAGGTGTCGAGAGCAGGGGGCGGCCGCGGAGCATCTGGGGGGCACCTGCACTCGCCGAGGACAGGACAGCGAGCGTGCCCTGCGGACGTGGCCAGTTGCCAGGCGAAGCAGACGCTGAGCTCGCGTGGGAAGGGCAGGGCCTGGGAGAGAGGGTCGCCGACTGAGGACGCTGCAGAGCTTGCCGTGTCGGCATTGCCGTGGGCAGTCTGACGGGCCTTGGCTGTGCTGGGCGCTGGCCTCCGTGAGGGACAACGTTTCCCCGCCGTGCGTGACCTGCCCCGTGTCCCTTGTAGCGACGACCTTGTGCTTGTGTTCTCCAGCGGCCATGGGGGAAGCGGCTGCCTCACGCAGTCTCCCCTCCTGGCCCTGCTCTGGTCCCCAGGGCGTGTCCTCGGTCACCGTCTCCACCTCCACGCTTCACAGCCTTCATGCACGGTGGAGCCGCAGCCGTGGCCGCCCCAGGCCTCGAACTCACATTCTCTCCCCTAGACACAAACATGTTCTCAGAAATGGGGAGCAGCTGTTGGGGGGCAGAGGCTGGGTGGGAGTGCCAGGCCCAGTTCTGCCCAGGCCAGGCGCAGGGCTGCACTGCTGTGGTTCTAGCTGTTGGGAGGCTCGGTCCTGAGGGTCACAGCGGGGCGGGCAGTCGGTCCCACCCGCAGACACGGCTGAATCCCGGCCCTGATGGCTCCTGCCCACACGTGCACCTGCCCTGGTGCAAGTACGGGATCATGTATTCCCATCCACCGCCCTTTCATTCTCCTTCACAGAAAACACTGAGTCCTCATCACGCTCTGAGGGGTGTGCCCCTCCCGGCCAGGCCTCTCCAATGTCCTTGCCAGTCCCTGGGTCAGCGAGGCGGGTGTGCTCACGTCACCCCACTTCAGGGCCGCTCCTCGTGGGCACTGTAGCCCGTGGTTGGGTCACACCTGTTCGTCCAGCACAGACGGGCTCTCGGAGGCAGCGACTCCAGCCCAGGGTGGTCAGCTGAGCCGGAGCTGGGACTGCAGGTTCTCTGACCCCGCGGTAGAGGGCACAGGCGTCGGTCTGTGGCACTCAGACTTTCTCTCTCCTTCTATATGGGTTACTGTAGGTCGCCTCTCTGTGTCCTGTCTCGGGGTTTGTGGGTCGTGGTTACAGGTCGCCTCTCTGTGCCCTGTCTCGGGTTTGTGGGTCGCGGTTACAGGTCGCCTCTCTGTGTCCTGTCTCGGGTTTGTGGGTCGCGGTTACAGGTCGCCTCTCCGTGCCCTGTCTCGGGGTTTGTGGGTCGTGGTTACAGGTCGTCTCTCCGTGTCCTGTCTCGGGGTTTGTGGGTCGTGGTTACGCTCCGTGCCGTGTCTTGGGGTTTGTGGGTCGTGGTTACAGGTCGCCTCTCTGTGTCCTGTCTCAGGTTCTGCACAGCAGCCATCTCTTACTCTCTGTGCAAGTTCTCGTCCCAGGTCCCCGCCGTGCCCTGCTGTCTCTCTCCAGGCCTCGTGAAGAAGGTAGGTGGGTGTCCAGCCTCTCCGTGCGAGCTCTGTGTCCGCGCATCCCCGGGGGCTGCTTGGAGGCCTCCTGTGACAAATGCTGCCTCTTCCTTCGGTCCTGGGTTTAAGTTGGTGTAAAGTGACACCACAGCATGGGTACAGGCCGGGGGGGCGGCTACGGAGCCGTGTGCCACAGCAGTGGGGGTGCAGCCCACCACGCTCCGTCATGCCACAGCAGTGGGGGTGCAGCCTGACACGCTCTGTTATACCACAGCAGTGGAGGTGCAGCCCAACACGCTCCGTCATACCACAGCAGTGGAGGTGCAGCCCGACACGCTCCGTCATACCACAGCAGTGGAGGTGCAGCCCGACACGCTCCGTCATGCCACAGCCGTGG